GCGAGTGTATGAGTTCGGTGCTACAGCAGCCGCCAGCGGCGGGCGGGCGCGAGCCCGCCCGCCGGCCCCGGCAGACGCATCGCGCCCCCCAGCCAGGGGCCTGCTCGAATGCCGGGGCAGCGACACATCTCTCCCGCGGCCACCTTCTTCGCCACCTGCGCATGCCTACCCCTCCGCTTCTCACGTCCGCCTGCCCACCTTGCTGACCTTGCGTGCCCCTCCCCTCGCCCTCCCTCCTTCCCTCGCCCTCCCTCCTCCCTCTCCCCCCTGCCTCCTCCCAGGCATGGACTTCTATGTTGTGCTGGAGCGCCCCGGCTACCGCGTGGCACGCCGCCGCAAGCAGCTGGCCAAGGTCGGCGTGCAGCACCGGGTGACCAAGGACGACGCCATCAAGTGGTGAGAGCCGGCGGAGCCGGTCCTGCCCGGGCTGCTTGCCTGTCTGTTGTTTAGGTTGTTGCTTGGTTTGCTGGTTGCTCCTGTGGCTGCTTGGTTCGGGGTCTGTGGGAGTGCGCTGCGGCTGTGCTTGGCTGTCCCGTCTTTCGTTGCACCTGGCCTCCACACGCCGCTGCCGGAGACCCTGTGATCTCCTCCGCTCGCTCCCCGACCCGATCTTTCCCCCCGTGCCTGGCCGGCCCCGCCCCTCCCCCTTGCCGCAGGTTCCAGCAGAAGTTCGAGGGTGTGGTGCTCAACAAGGCGCACGCCAGCTAAGCGCAGCCTCGCAGCAGCAGCAGCAGCAGCAGCAGCAGCAGCGGCGGCTTTGGCGGCAAATAGCAGCATATGGGTTGGGGCCGGAGGCGCGCTGCCGCCGGGACCGCGTTGGTACCCGCGGTGGCAGTAGGGCCGGGGCAGCCTGTACGATAGCGCATCACTGGCTGTCTGGGCGGCTGCGCCTTCGACCCTGTAACCCAATTCCACACTTGCTCGTGGTGGGAAAGGACTGCAGAATGTGCGGGGTGCTGGGCGGCGGTATCGAGAAGCTGAGCAAGCACCGGGGAATCCTGGCGAAACCCAGCACGGCATTCGTTTTTTCACGAACGTCCCTAAGTCTATTTTCTGGTATCTATCTCAGCTGCTCCCAGAATCCACAGGCATGCGAGGGAGGAACCTCGCTGTCTTTCTCGCCGCCGCTGCGCTGGCGTGCCTTGGCACGCCAGCAGCAGGGCAGCGCCGTAGGTGGGACTATTTCCCGAATCAGGCCGAGGCGCAGCCTGCCGCTGAGCCCACGCCCAGTGCAGCCCCAGCAGCCGAGAGCCTTTCCAGCTCCGAGGTTGTTGCAGCTCCTGCACAGGAGCCATCCCCAGCCGCCGCTCAACCGCCACCTGCCGGCGGCACAACTCTGCCAGCTCCTGACCAGCAGGTCGCGGCTGAGGCAGCTCTAGCTGCTGCACCGCCTCCAGCCTTGGAGCCGGCGCAGGGTGATGCAGGCCCCTTCGCTGCGGCAGTCTCCCTGCCGCCTCCGGCATTCGAGCCGCTGCCCGTGCCTGCCGCCGAGGTGCCGCTGCCTGCGGCTCCGGCGCTGGAGCCGGCTCAGGCTGCTGCCACCCCCGTCGCCGTGGTAGCCTCCCAACCGCCTCCGGCAGCGGAGCCGCTGCCCGTGCCTGCCGCCGAGGTGTCGCTGCCTAGGGCCGAGGCCGCCGCCTTTGTGTTTGCACCGCTGCCGAACATCAGCGCCGGGGATTACTGCGCCTGCACGGCAGACGGCGTGAGCGGTGGCAGCAACACCACAGGTGCGCACGCTGAGGGAGATGTGCATTGGAGTGGAGCAGGGGTATGATCATCACAGTGCCGTGCAGCTCAGGCCCAACCTTCTTCAATATTGTGCCCACCCGGCCTTCCTGCAGCCGTCGGCTGCGGCCAGTGGCTGCTGTCCCAGGGGAGCAACGCCTGGATCTGTTTTGTCAGGGTGCGAGGTGCAGCAGCGGCGGCTTGCCTGCCCTTCTGCCTTTCAGCCCGCCTCTCCACTGCTCCACTGCTCCACCTGCTGCTGCTGACTAACTGGCTGGCGTTGCCAGGGGCTCCCTCCTTGCAGGAGCCTTCGCTGTGCTACCAGGGCATGGCGCTGACGGTGGAGCCACGCTTCCCTGGTAGGTGTTGCCGCCGACAGACCTGCAACACAAGCATCTGTGTCCCGCTGGATTTCCAGCACAGCAAGTGCTGTGGCCGCTGGAGCAGCGGGCAGCCTCCTGCCGTCTTCCTTCTACACCTCATCCTCCTGCTGCTGCATCTGCTGCTGCTGCCGCAGGCGCCGCGTACCGCAGCTGCCCGCCGCCTGCCCCCGGCAGCACCGCCAGCAGCACCGGCGAGCCGCTGCCGACGGTCGGCGGGGTGCTGAGGAGCGCCCCGCAGCTGTCCACCCTGTCCGATGCGCTTCGCGCCGCCGACCTGCAGCGTGTGGCGGGAGACCAGGTCACAGGTGTGCTGCCTGCCTTGCACGCCGTGTGTTGGCTGCCTCGCCCGCCTTTCGTGTGCCGTGCCTCAGGGCTGGGAGCGGGGTCAGCAGAGGCCTGACCAGGGCCGCACGGTACCGGCTGTCTCTATTACCAGCAGTCTCTTTTCCTTCCTGCCTTGCCTGCAGTGTTTGCGCCCTCCAATGCCGCCTTCACCTCCGCGCTGCTCTCCGGCCGGCTGTGGGAGCTGCTGACGCCCAACCAGGCGGCGGCCGTCGCCAGCGGCGGCACGTCTGGCACCGGCGGGCCCGTCGCGGCCGCCATGCAGCAGCTGCTGCTGGATCACCTGGCTCCGGGCCGCCTGCTGGTGGCTGACCTCGAGCGCCTGGCTGCCGCCGACGGCAGCGCAGGCGCGCCCGGACCATCGGCCGCCGTGGTGGCAGCCAGCGATGGCGCCGCCGCTCAGGGGAGCGCCTTCCTGACGATGCTCAGCGGCAGGCAGGCACTGGTCACCACACAAAACGGTGAGGCGCCGGAGGCAGCCTGCCAAGTCGCGTCCTGCTGATACAGCGGCCACCAGGCGGTCAAGGGAGCAGCAACTGCTTTCCACCTTCCCGCTTTTGCCCCACCCCGCCCCTGCCGGCCGGCCCCTGCTCCTTGCAGGCTCCGTTACTGTGGGCAATGCCAGCATCTCTCTTCCAGACCTGCAAGCCAGCAACGGTGCAGTGCACGTGATGCAGAGCCTGGTGCAGACGGTACCGTCAGCTGCACCGCCACCCAGCGAAGCAGCGCCAAGCGCCGAGCCGCCACCTGCGCTCCCAGTGCCGCCACCTGCGGCCGAGCAGGCAGCTCCTGTGCTTGAGGCCCCGCTTCCCAGCCCCTTCCTGCTGGAGGCTCCTCCGCTGGCCGAGGAGGCTGCTGTCTTCAGGGCAGCGCCTGTGGTACTGCCGCCGCCTGCAGCTCCCTCGCCAGCGCCGCCCTTGCCCGCTCCAGTACCAGAGACCCCTGCGGTGCTGGCGCCACCAGCGCCAGCACCAGAGAGTGCGGCCCCAGCATTCCAGCCTGCCACCGAGCCAGTCAACCCGTTCCTGGCTGTCCCTGCTCCCCCCCCGCCCCCTGCGCTGTTTTTTCCAGGCAGGCAGCTGGCACCCACCGCCGAGGGTAGCCACACACAGCTTGCCAGCAACGAGGGTAGCACAGCTGCCGCCCTCTCTGGGGCTTCCAGCAGCTGTGCTGGTCCCTATGCCAGAGGCGACAGCACTACCTTCTGCTGAGCCTTTCATATTACCTCCTCCGCTGTTGCCAGCTCCCATTCCAGCTGCCGCCTTGGGCATGCTCAGCATCGAAGTCAATCCATTCCTGGCACCGCCTGCAGCAGCTCCACCTGCCCAGCTGCCAACACCGCCAGTCGCCCCAGCGCCCGCAGAGGCTCAGCTGCCGCCAGCGCCCCAGGCACCAGCACGACTGCCAGTTGCGGCAGCGTTAGTATCTCAGCTGGCGCCAGGGCCTGAGGTACCTCCGCCGCTGCCGCCGCCAGCAGCAGTGTCTCCGCTGCCGCCAGCGCCCGAGGTAGCTCCGCTGCCGCCAGCGCCCGAGGCAGCGTTGCCTCCGCCAGCGCCCGAGGCAGCGTTGCCGCCGCCAGTAGTTGAGGCAGCATCAACACCTCAGCCGGCGCTAAGGCCCGAGGTAGCAGCACAGCTGCTGCCAGGCGTGCTGAGGGCTGTTCCCATCCCGCCGCCGCCGCCGCCGCCTCACGCACCAGCCGCAGAGCCTCCCGCCGCAGAGCCAGCTGCGGCTGGGCTGCCAGCTGCTGTGCTGGCCCCTGCAGCCGAGGCGCTGCAGGCTGGGCTGGCCCCA